CGGTTAATTTTGTTTCCTATATTTGTTTTGGCAGACACGATGGGACAACAAGGACAGCCTTATTTTAGTAATTGACTGTTCAAGAGAGATGTTTCAACAGGTCCGAGGTGAAATCCCTTTTCAGCTATGCATAAAGGTTTGTTCTTTGATCACCTGTTTATGTTCATGCATCTGTCAATTCAAGTAGTGTCTGATCCCACTTCCAGGCCCCAGGTTGTTTTTAAAAATTGTAAATTCCACAGGGTGGGGACAACTAAGTGAGCCAAATGCTCCAGAGTGAGAGTTTGGGCAAGGGGTTAAAAATATCCCTACTCAAAATTTAACATATTATAATGAGCAAGTATCATTCACCTGCATTTATATAATTTTGTGCATGTGGTTATCTTTACATGTGCATAATGTGTGAGAATTTCCCTGACAATACCACATTGTTGTTGCATTAATTTGGTTTACTGTTTTGTTCAAAGTGTGTAATGTACTTTAATCTTGTTAAGACATCTTCAAGTAAAGAAATGCATGTCATTAAAGAATTAAAGATGTATGATCCTTCTCTAGCTTTCTCTGACAAACATATAATACAAGATCTATATGAAGCTGATCATCTCAGGCAGCTTTAAAATCCACACATTCATTTGATCCATATTTGCTTCTCCCCCCTCCCCCTGCCTCTCACTGGGTAATAGCAATGTATTTACTTGTGTCAATACCAGGGGTGGGGCATTTGAAATTTTATTACTCCTTGGGGCTGGGCATTCGCCTACCCCCAGGACAACGCCAGAGCTACAGAGTGGTTTTTGCCTTGCATGTGGCAAAGAACACTAACATAATGTTTGCCCCTAGTCTATCCTAAAACTTCAATGAGTGCTGTAAATTTAGATTATTTTTAAAAGTTTTCTTTTTGTGTCTTTGTTTACCATTAACTAGTGTGCTGTGAGTGTGCTGAAAAACAAGATCATAAGCAGTGACAAAGATTTGATTGGGATTGTGTTCTTTGGAACTGTAAGTATAAGTAAATGTACAAAACATTCTGAAACAAAGAAAAATTAAGTCAAACTGTTTTGAAAAATTCTAAGAAAAAATACATCAGATACAGTCCTAGAAGTGAGTCATTCACTTTACTATGACTTATCTGATTAATATTTCTAGGATAAGAGCAAGAATCCAAGTGATTTCAAGCAAGTGTATTTATATCAGGTATCTATTTGAACTTTTACTCTTTATCAACTTGTAATTAAAAGAGAAACAGACATTATGGCACATGCAGCTGTCAGTTAATGACTGTTTCCATAGCATCAACAAAATGCAATGCAGTGCAATGCATTGCAACGTAATGCAACCCAACACAAATTATGCAACGAAACAATGTTCACAAAAAACAAACTTTCCCCTTCCAGGCAAGCTCTCACTATGAGCCCAAAAATCATATTTCTCACTAGCCCCCCAAAAGTTCATCTCTTACAGTACTTCTGTAATTTGAATTTCCTCAAAATTTGTCCCAGGAAACTCTACTGACCCACAGAATCCACTAGCCCCAGACTAACAGACAGGACTTTCTTTGCACACTTAAACACCTATTAAATGAATTTTGTAAATAAACATATTAAGGTTGAAAATCTCAAAACAGTTGACTATTTACAAGCATAGCCAAGGCGTGATAATTTAATTTAATTATACACATATAAATTAATGATTTAATTTATTATGCATGATCCCATAAGCTACTGGGCTTTAATTTTTATCATGCTTAAATAAGCGTTGTCTGTCTGTCTGTCTGTCTGATACTTGGGAGTACAGAGAACAACATGATGAGAAATTGGCTTCAACCAGTGACCTCTGGATTTCCAGTCCTGCGCTCTAAGCACCTGGCCATGCTGTCTCATATGGACTAGCGTTCACTCCTGGACACAAACTTGATATAAATGCCAACAGATCCACTCGTTTCATAACTGAAAGATTTTAGTAATATTAAGTTTTGTTGCTTTGTGTTAATTTATAGGAGTTAGATTTTCCAGATGCCCAACGTATACTTGATCTTGAAAAATTTCTTGAAGGTTAGTTACTAGATTTTCTATATTTGTGGACTAAATAAAAGTTGTACCAAAGGCATCAGCGGTCAAGTGTCGATCGATACCCTCAATCAACATCTTGATGGGTACTTGTTTGACATCTCGATCAATACTCGGGGCGACTCTCAATTGACACTTGATCAACAGTCAGTCGATAGTCTGCTGAGTGTTGATGGGCTCGTATGTATTGATCGAAAATTAGTTGACTGTCAACCGACTGTGAACCAAGATGTTGATGGAGTGTTGATCGAGTGTTGAGTCAAGTGTCAATCAAGGCTATTGATTGACACTTGACTGCAGATGCCTTTAGTATACATGATCCAATAACTGATGATGACTGAAAAACAGAATTGGATAATTTAATTCAGGAGCACCACAGTGACCAATTTACTACAAGTTGCTGATGCAGCAAATGTTAGGATGTGACGTGTCAAGGCCATGCTGTGAAAAGAATTTACAGATTCATTGCTGATGAATGTCCTTATAACAATATTGTGGATTTATATTTCAGATGATAGTTGCAATGATTTTGAAAACAAGTTTGGTCACAACAGTGGGTTTTCCTTAAATGATGTCCTCTGGACATGTTCTAACATGTTTTCCAAAAGGTAAATGGAAAGTTGTTTTTTGTGTATGTTAACTTTAATATAGGCTGAGTGCTGCTTGAGGCAAGCATTGTAATGTGTAGTACTTATTGATTTTACTTTATGGATTGTGCACCATGAAAGACTTAGCCTAAATTTTCAATTCTTTTTCATTCTTAACTCCAGTCTTTCTCAGTCTTAACCAATCTGGCCCTTTAATGTCAGTATTAAATTGATAAGCTGCTGTTTTGATTCTCCTTTTCAATTTGATCTGAAGGTAAGAACAAAGTTGTTTAGTTTGTACCTTTCACAAATATCATGATGCATATAACCTTCACAGCTGACTGCAGTCAGGGAGGCAAGGGCTGTTTAGCTAATTACATAAATAGAAAAATAGACCTTGATTTACCCTCGCCAGTGTTTATAGCACAAAGGCTAGTGGGGCAGAGCAAACAACTGAAACAAATAATTCAAATTGAACACAACATTGTTAAGAATCCCAATTGACCAGAGGCAAACTAGTTGGCTATTCACAAGTGTGGCCAAGGATTTGAACTTGGGGCTCTAACTGTGAAACAAATCCAGGTAGCGGTCAGAGTGGGACTCAAACCTGGGACCCCTGGATTGCAAGTCTGATGCACTGACCACTCGGCCATGCTCCCTTTAATTGTGGATAAAATTAACACACCACTTCACTAGACAGAGAAGTAAAAAAAGTTTAATTGGAGGAGGACAGTAGAGGAAGAGAGATGACAGGTAGGGTGGAATGACTGGAACACCATGAGAGTGGTAGCCAGGGATAGGGCACAGTGGAAACAGAATGTTACGGCCTCATGCGCCCACTGGCACAAAGAGCAGTGATGATGACTCAGTCGGTCAAAGTACTAAATGTCATTGAGTAATTTATATTTCTTTATTACTTCTCAGTTTGCAGAAGATTGGACACAAGCGCGTCATGTTGTTTACCAATAATGACAATCCCCACGCTGGTGATCCTGCCCTTCAAGTAAGATTCCAAAAGTGTATGTTAACTTTGGAACTCTTTAATTATTTCCAATGACTTTGGTCAAACTGTTATGCGACAAAAGGTGAGATTCACCATTCAAAGTAGTCAAATAAGAATATGTAACCTATGTGAAGTGATAGTAAGTAGCTTCATTTTCTAAGCCAAATAACAACTGGTTTTTCTATATATTTTTTTCTTTTCAGAAACAAGCCAAGACAAAATCAACAGTGAGCACTATAATTAATTTTTTTTGATAATTATTATATCTCTCAATTAGTATGCACGCTGTGATTGGTCAATTTAGCAGGCCGTATTCTACTGTATGGCCCGCTAAAATTTAAAGCTGTTTTTGTTGCCAAAATGTTTCATGATTTATCGCCAAGTGTTCTTAACTTTTTTAGCGAGTAAAAGTTTAAAAGTTTGCTGTAACTTCTGAAAATGTGTATTAAAACCTGCTAACAATATAAGAGTCACTTAACAACGATTTCAAATGGACTTGCTTTCAAGGTGCATCAGAAATTTGAAGCTGTTCTGCGTGAATAGAAATCGTTCCTGAACCCGTCAGACACACAGTAGAGATATAATAAATATCTTACTAACCTCGTTTTCTTGGTCCATACTGAAAGTTACAGATCCTCGTTTTTCCCCTTCAATTTATGGCCCGTGCACTTGGCACTTGGGCCATAAATTGATGGGGAAAAAACTTGGTCCGTAACTTACACTACAGCCCTCAAACTCGGTTAGTAAGAGGTATTTATTATCAACTGGTCTTAAAAACAACAGAGAAACAGCAATTTTTAAAAAGGAAACAACATTTTTGATTTTACAAAACATGTTTTGCCATTCCCATGTCATCTTCACTTGCAAATATTTGATGGTTGTACACTTGAATTTTCACTCTATATATGATATTATCAAATGCATTTTAACCTACACAATCCATGCTGTATACTGCATCTCAAATGTCACCTATTTCTGGACCTACCTCCATGGTTAACATCAGGGTAGGTGTTTCACTCCAGTAAAATGTTCCTCATAACAGCATTTATTTGTAAGTGATTGCAGTGAATTTGCTACTCCACTAGATTTTGTTGAGTGAAATCTGTATGGTAGGTTTGACTCTTAAAGGCTGCCAAAAAGTGATATTCACCAGTACCATTCAGTGATCTAGAGAGGCTAACTGAAAGAATGTCAAGGAACACAATATCAAGAGAATGCCTGGCCAAGCTTCTGGACCTTAAAGTTGCTGCAACTGTAATTCATGTAACATTGATGTAACAAAAAGCTATAAAAATTACCTGTGTTTTTAATAATTTTTGAATTGTTCTTTAGGATTTGAGTGAAATTGGTATTGCAATAGAGCTGATGCATATTCAACCTCCAGGTCGCCATTTTGATTCAAGTCTCTTTTATCAAGTAGGTCATCAATGTCTGTTGGAGTAATAGAATGATGATCAATATCGGTCTATGTTTAACAATACAACTGTCTCATTTTCATGACACAATAAAATCTTGAATTGAAGGCACTGACATCTGTCGATTGTCTTAGGATATAATCCACATGGATGATGATGAAGGAGGGTTATTGCCAGATCCTGCTGAGAAGTTTGAAGAACTTCTTACCAGGTAACAATAAAAGTTGCATTGTGCTGTTCCAGAAAAGATACAAAATTGGTTAATCCTCCCGGCCCACCTTTCCCCCTGAAAAATAATCCCTTTGCACAGCTCGAAAAAAGTGCCTTCCCATTGTCCCGGACAAGTAGATTTTCCTTCTGGGCAAGTAACTTAACATTCTCACTTGCCCAATGGGCAAGAGACCAAACAAGTCATCCGCCAACTAAATCATTAAAAGGGCAAACTAAGACTTGCCATGGGCAAGCAATCTTTGAGAGATACTTGTCCCAAGGGCAAGTTGGAATTCAAGTTTTTTTCGAGCCCTGCTTTGGAAATTCCACTTTCCTAAAATTTTGGCTTTTTGGACACCCCTCCTCCCTTGATATTTGCAATTGCTTCTTCTTGAGGTTGGGTATGGATTGTAATAATGTGATGTAAGACTGTTAGTTTTGTTTTTATTGATTAATGCAATTAGCTGTCTTGATTATGTGTACACTGTAATGTCTTTCTACTGAACTACTTTTAACATGGGCAGAGATAATTTTTGATTCAAGGAAGTGGGATTATTGCAAATTCATATCAAAGTTTCCTTGAAGAAGTAATGTCTCCAAATGGCCAATAGAAAAGAAATAATTTATTGTCACAGCACTGTACATCTTCTCGGCCTTATGTGCCTACTGGCATGCAATGACTTGATGATGACTTTACATCTTCTTCTTTTCTTAGGGTGCAAAAAAAGGAGTACAAGAAACGGGCAATGACAACTCTTCCATTTATGTTGGCAGATGGAGTTGAGCTTGGGGTTTCTGTGTGAGTTTAATACTTTGTTTGTGTACACATGAGCATAAAACTATGTTCACTTATTTATTTCTGCAAACTATGATGAGCTTAGCCTGCAAGACAGGGCTTCCTTGTGTAATCTTTTGGCGGGTATTGAAGGGAAGATAAACAGAGACCTGTTTTTGCTAGTTAGTCATTTTTATGAGCCAGTGTTCTCACTGTTTGTCTTTTTTATGCTCTTCTTTTCATGGTATTACTCTGAAATGCTATGCAAAATGCCTGTAAATAGCTTAGCTAGTTCTCTTTCTTCTAGAAACTGTCAGGTTCAGAGTATTTTCTGAAAGAACTAGAGCTCAATAATCTTTGAAAACTTAATGACCACTTGAGGCAAGGAGCACTCAGATACTCAAAGACAATTTTTGTTAATTAACAACCTCTTCATTTTCAAGTGAATATGTGAAAGGCCATATCATGCCTTTAAACTTTAAATGTCTTTTCATTTTGTCTCTACATACAGGTATCATCTTTGCAGATCTGCAACAAAATCTGGTTATATTAACCTGGATAGTCGAACAAATGAAGAAGTTAAAACTCACACCAAGTACATTTGTGTGGTGAGCCCTCATTTCAGCTTACAGTGCACATATTTGAATTCATAAGAAACTGGGATTTACTATTTTTATTATACTGAAGTTTTTCACTGATTTTCATTTCTTGAAGTATTCTTCAAGCAAACGGTCATCACCACACTAAAATTATAATTAATATATTTATTAAGTGGCTAGCTTGTGTGCCTGACTATTCATGTGGGAAGAAAAAAAACATGGACATCTGTTATTTTGTTTGTTTATTCCTTGCAAGGACCAGTCAGTTTTGCATCAATCCAACTGTTGGTGCATTTATTGACATTAATTTATATATTATTGGTATATTTTATTTAGTTTTGGTAATAAAGATAAGCTGATTTAAAAGATCATAGTGTTTAATAATAGTGTTTGACCCAACTGTTTTGTAGTTAAGTCTGTTCTTTTGTAGGATACCGGTCGAGAGTTGTTGCCGACTGATATTAAGTATTACCAAATGTTTGGAGGGGAAAAGGTATTAAACTAAAGACATCATTAATTATGAAATTCCTTATAACTAAATAATAAATTATATTTAATTATTTTTGTTTTCAGCTATACATTCATGATGTTCTAAAGTTTGTTAGTTAGTAATAAACTTTTTGTGCTTGGATTATTATTTAATTAATACATATTATTGGCTTTGGTTTCAGGTTATCTTTGAAAAAGAAGAGGTTGCTGAGATGAAAAACTTTGGTGATCCAGGTAAAGATCATCGCAGAGGATTGCATATCTTTACCTCAACATTTTATAGGTCTAAACACATAAAAATTAAGATTCTAAATTTAATAGTTTTGAAGATACAAGTGTGTCCAGAAGTTTCAAAATCTCTGCAAGTTGAGACGTATGTGCAGTGATATATAGTAGGTTTGAAGCTAGTTATGTCAAATTATTCTCATTTAATACTTGCAGGTCTTCTTTTAATGGGATTTAAGCCCAGATCATCTGTGAAGAACTATTTTCATATCAGACCTGCGCAGTTTCTCTATCCCAGTGAAAAGGTATTTATAACATTATTAATGAAATAGAAAGCACTCCCAAATCCAAATTGTTGATTTATAAAAACTTGGGCAAATGTTGAAGACACAAAAGAACACAAAAGAATTGCATAGAGAACATGATGAGTAGCCAAGTGTTTCTCCCAACCAGTAGAATATAACACAACAATCAGGAGAAGCAGGTTGACTATTTCCTTCATGTAAATATTAATGTTCTTCAAAACCCCTGCACTCAATAAATGATAATATTTTACAATAATTTGGGGTTGAAGATCACTCACTGCTGTTTCCCCACAGAGTGTTTCAGGAAGTACAACATTATTCTCTGCGCTTCTAAGCCGAAGTCTTGACAGAGAGGTGGTACCAATATGCCGATACATTCCAAGGATCAATACTCCACCGAGATTTGTGGCACTCCTTCCACAGGTAGCATGTCCTCAGATGCCTACAATCCTCTTCTGCATATAATATGTAAACTTTCATTACCTTTCTTGCAACATGGTTTGCATGGCATGAAAAACTTTATCATTGTTAAACTATTCTTGTACAACTCACGATGGATGATGTTTTATCTGAAACATGTTTTGCTATTTAATGTAAGATATGAACTTAAAACACATGTGGTTTGTAAAAGGATTATCATACTTTGTACTGCTGAGAAGCCTTGGTAACATAATTATTTATGAAAAACTCACCTCTGACACTTGTCTTACAGAAAGAAGAACTAGATGAACACAACAATCAAGCCACCCCTCCTGGTTTCCATCTGGTATTTCTTCCATTTGCAGATGACTTTAGAAAACTGAAATATGAAGAAACACCTACAGGTAGCCTTATTAACAAAAATTTATTACATTGTTAACAAAGATTTTGATTGGAAATTCTTGGTGGTCTACTAAAAGTATTTGTTCCCTTTACCAGTATTTTCTGAAATTAAAAACTGGAACCTTGCTCGTTAACCATGTCTATGGACAGACACAATTTGACACATGGGAAATGGAAGTAAATGGAATGCACATTACCTTTTGCTCTCAAATTATTAGGAAAATCTTTTCAAGAAGTTCCATTCATTCTAGAAATTTTCTATAATTTATGGCAAATTTAAATAGAAATTGATAATTTGACCACCAATAGCCTATTCACAGTAACTTTTTGTTATATTTTATAGACATTAATTACAATTTTTTTCTGTTCATCTGTTCTTTATTTTCAGCCACAACAGATCAGGTCAATAAAGCCAAAGATGTTATCAAGCAACTCACAATAGGATTTGATAGTTCACAGTTTGAGAATCCTTGTAAGATTTCACACTTTGTCAAGAGTACTGACAGCAAATTTAAAATATTGAATCTAAAACAGTTTACTACTTTTAGGTCACACTCATAGAGTGGAGGGGGACAAGGGCAGAGGGGGGGGGNATGAAATAACATGACAATTATGTAGGTAGTATTTCACAACATATAGCAAATTTGCAAAACTTTAAAATGTTACAGACCTGTGTAGTACTGAAAACTGAGGACAATTTACCAGATGAGTGACTGGCCCAGTGGGGCCAATAATAAATTTATAAGTCTACATGCTATATTGTCTTGACTATATTTACCTTGTTTTACAAGTTATTAATGAAAATTGCATTTTTCCTCCTGGACAGCTTTACAGAAACATTACAAGAACCTTGAGGCTCTGGCTTTAGACAGAGATGAACCAGAAGAGGTTGTTGATCTGACTGGTAAAAACAAGAAAATTGTTTTGCTCTCAAATTAAAATAATTTTATCCATTACTGTCAATACTTTCAGTGATGTGTTGTTTCAGGTGGTATATCTTTCATGATGTAAGACTGGAGTGGACATGTTTCCCCTCATAACTCATGATCTTCAGTTTGGGATGCATGTATTAAATTCAAAAAAAAGTCCAGCCCAGAACTAAATTTCAGGCTAATTTTCACCTATATCTGTCAGTTTGATTCTCAAGTTCTTAGATTCTCATTTAGACTCATGCTTTCGTTTTCAGCATGAAGGTGCTGTAACAATATTTTTGATGTTAATTTTTTCTGTAGAACCCAATGTGGAAGCAATTGATCGTAAAGCTGGAGATGCCATAAAGGCATTCAAGGACCTGGTTTTTCCTGATGATTATAATCCAGCTGGCAAACCTGCACCTAAGAGAAAGGTAGACACTGTTTGATTTCTTTTTTGTATGCAGTGTTTGGTTAAAAATGCCATGCTCATTGAAAGAAAAACTGCTACATTTGATTACTGTCAGGGGTGATGAATGGTAAATGTGAGACCTCGTGAGAAGGCAAGATTAGCCTTTCTCTTTGGGAGTGTGAGACATTTTGACTTCAATTGCAAGACCGACATGTCAAAGTGTGTTAATGTGAGCTTGAGATGTTCAGGCTCTAAGACATTCAGACATCACTTATAACAAACAAATAGGTACTTTGAGACTAACTTAACCTTGCAACAAAATAGAGACTTTGAGACAGTTTTGTGAAAACATTGAGTTTACAAGATGCTCATAACTCCTAAAAAAACAAGACTGCGAGACTTGTGAAATTTGACGAAAATTTTGCAACACCCATAGTTTTTTATCAACCATTTACCATTGTCACTGAATGTATAAATTTGGAATTTTTTTGTCTCTTTCAGGCAGGAGATGCATCAGGGGCTGCAGCAAAAAGAAGCAAATCAGGAGATGACGTTGAAATTGACATGAGAGAAGAGGCACAGAAAGGCAGAGTGAGTGACATGAATCAAACACCAAGTTTTATTTTGTGCTTGTACTCAAATAAAAAAGCTTCAAAAGTTGCAACGCTCCAAAAGAAGAGATTATAACAATTTCACTGGTGTAACTGAACCTAATGATGCTCCTCCAAAAGCAGTGACCTTGGAACGTGACTTACTGTTGAGAAAAGCTGTAGGAAATGACAGGTAACAACAGTTGACGAGTGTTCTTGGGATTTGTATGAGGAAAATATGTTAGTCAACAAGGCAGTAGGGAAAGGGGGGAGGGGATGATGCAAGACTTCTGGTTGTTTTGAAATTCAATGCAATTCAACGACTGATTCATATTGAAAATAGATTGTACATTCTCATTCTTTGTGTACCTAGTAAGATTGACTCTCAAGACATAAGTTAGGAATTGTCAAAATTGACATGGAGGATGTTTTTCTATTTTGCAGCTTACCAAGCTCACTGTGCCAGTGTTAAAAGAGTTCGTAAAACAGGCAGGCATTAAATGTGGTACTAAAAAGGCTGATCTGGTGGAAGCTATCAAAGAACACTTCGGAGTTTGATGCGATTGTACTTTTTGGCACCTTTATGAACAATTGAAATGAATGGTTATATCCCTGTGCAGGAGTCATTTATTGTACTTATTATTATTGTCTAGTCAAAAATGTAAAATAGTTTTAAAAAACAGTTTGTACACATTTTTTGGGTAAAATGATGTAGAACAGATATATTCACTCATGAGGTATGCAGTTTATAAAAAATCAATAAAAGGGAAAAAAATTCTAAACATAATTTGTTGTAATATGAATGTTTGTAAACATTTTGCATAATAAATTATTGATAATAATGCCTAATAATGCCAATTATGGCACATCAATACCGGTAAAACCACTGCATGTTATCTTCAAATATCTTAGTAAAAGTTATTTCCAGGGCTAATAACATAATTATTTCAAACAAATGATCATTGCTTTGGAAATAAACTTCAGGCACTCTTAAAAGTTTTGAACAATTCTGAAGCAAAGTATTAATTCTGACTGACGTCAGAATATTCTGAGAAATCTTTGGTCATTACCCAACAAGACCTTTCTAAAACTGATCTATGGCCAGCCTGGACTCCCATTTTGGCCCGACACTCAATCAACATCTTGATTGACACTAAATTGACAGAAGGTTGATAGTCGGTCAAGTGACAACAGACTCAAAAGTTTTGATCGACACTCGCTGTGATGTCTGCAAATATCAGTAGACTCGACCAAGATGTCGATAAAGTGTCGATTGAGTGTCATTTGAAGTGTCAATGGAGTATCTATCGAGCGATTGTCGATTGAGGGTCGATCGAGTGTTGATCGAGGGTATCGATCAAGGGCGTCGATTGACATTTGACTGCTGATGCTTTTAGTACACATGATCCATTGACTCAATAGTAGTCTGATTATTGACATAACAAATATTTCCGTAACCATCATCATCCCATCAACCATCAACATCAGTTCATCATCATTGTCGTCGTCATCATCATCACTGCCCTCACGTGATGTGTTACAGAGAAAGCCCCACTCAGACTGTATCCAAACACCAGCCACACATCTTTTACTCGATATGCGGTCTCCTTACGCGTAACCCATAATGCCACGGTGTTCCTTGCCGAGAGTAAAGTGAACTTGACGCTACCGAGTGTACCTTCTTTGGAGAAGGTGAACTATACGACGGATAAGACTGTAAATAGTCATCTGGAGGTAGAATGCTCTCGGGTCTTGGGTACCGTTTGAAGTTTGAAGGAGGTAAAATGTTCCCTTCCCAGTCTGTTGGCGGAGCTCGACATTCGCTTTGAACTTTCAGTGATCTTGATTGTAATTCTTGCCTTCCCTGTTGTTGCCATCCGATAATTTTCTGTTTGGGTTGTGGTAATTTAATCTCGTGCAAGAATTTGTGGTAAGTGTTTTTGCCGATTCGCGACGGTTTTGGTACACTTAACGGGTAAATATCCGCAATCATGCCTACGGAAGATGGCAGTGAATTTCGCGTTCCAAAGCTAGCGCTATGTTTCGGACGGACAAATTTGAAATTTTTCCACATGTTGCTGTTGTACTTGTTGTCGACTTGCTCTAGCTGTGAAGTGTCGAGATGTGTTATATCCAACCACAGTCTTTGTTGAGCGGTATTCGGTGGTTTGTCTCGTTCGTCGTATGGTGCTTGCCGAACGAAACTGTTTAGGTCATATGTTAGTTCTGAAGGAGATTCTCTCCTCAAGGGAAGCCCGAACGTGGTTTTAGATCGAGGAGAAAACGCCATTACGGTGAACTTCGACAAGGATTGAACTCAACTGTTGCTATGGAGATTGCATGTCATTACGCGCGAAGTTACCTTCGCGGGAAAAATGGAGGGGAGGAAGGTTGTCATGAGAACAGTTCTTCCTTTCTCATTTTCCCGTGAAGAGCCTGCTCGCAGGCTAGCGCGAAGTAGACAATGGTAGACAATGGTAACTTGCCCAAATGCCCAGCCATAGTTCTAGGCCATCAAATGCCCATATTCCCAGAACCTTTGTGTCACGGAAATGAAAAAAAACCCCTCGAACCTCGAATACCTGTTTGCAACTTCCACCGTGTCCCAAGTATTCCTTTTGTATATTTTATTAAAATATAAAGGTTAACCTTACCTAGCTTGTTTTTCAAGGCCATTTTTCGATCCTCACCATGATCTTGGGGCGACTTGTTGAAACCCCTCTACTCCCTTCATATGCTCCCTCGTGACACAAAACCGGGAGCATTGCGTGACGACCTCAAAGGACCAGGACTGCTGCTGCGAAAGAGGCGGGCCCCGAATGGAAAATAAAGCTAGACGAGGCCAATGCGGGAAGTATAGAGTGACCTTCTACATACATGTATTTGTTACAGGTTGTAAAGGGAAATGGGACAATAAATTGCGGTAAAAACCAACAAAGTAAATAGAGAGCCCCTTGAAAATTGGCTCGTGCTACCCCTAATAATAAGGTAACCCCGAGAAACGGAATGACCTATGTCGTATGTGTCGCCGTTGGAAATGGGGGTGGGACCCCTTAAGGCAAAAGCATGATGCAATCGCACAGAAATGTTTACAGAGTGGTCCCCGAGTTGTATGACAGAAAATGGCTCCATGGGGCCTAGAGCCACTGGTCCATGTTCCCATCCAGCAAGGGGGTGGGTCTGAGAGTGACCCTTAGCATATTTTACACATGTTGTGAGCATTTTCAGTTTAGGGCAGAATGAAATTCATTCAAGTGAAATATAAATACACAACGCTTTCAGATACTTATCAACTTTTACTTTTATTACTGTTGCAACTGGCATCCACTTTTTCTGTTTTCTATTACAAAACAACAACAAATCTTTTTCAATTATGTATATTATCTACAACGCTTACAAAATGCACCAAAACATCTGCGCACCCAAAAAATAGTTCATACAATAGGGCATTATGTAGCAAATCTCTTCTGTTAAACAATTAGTAAACCAATTTGAAAACGGTTTCAATAAATATTATCAGTATTTATTCCATGGAAACAATAACATTGGTTGTCATAAACTCTGCACCAACTCAATAAACTTTATCAATCTATCTACAGAATTCTGTGCTGATTTGTTACTCGCAGACAGTTCACTCTTAGCTTGCATCTGTTCCTGGAAAGACAAGACAATACAGACATTAATATATAAATTTAGCCAAACCTAAAAGCGGAGCACCTGAGCCGGGTTGATCAAAGCCAGATTAAGCTAACCCAGGATAAGTGAGAATTTTGATTTGAGCTTTTTTTAACTTGGTGGTGAGGTTTTCTGCTTATATTGTTTGGCCTTCTGAGTTTGAATCTCAAACTATACAAAACATAAAAGGTAGGTAAAGTCTGCATACAAGCCAAGTGGCCCATCAGGCCAGAGCTTATCCCCGTTTCTATAGCACGAAGCAACTAGGAGTATTTCTACTCCCCCCTGGATGGTACCCATTTATACACCTAGGTGGAGAGAGGCACTGTGAGAGTAAAGTGTCTTGCCCAAGAACACAACACAATGCCCCAGGCCAGGGCTCGAACCCGGACCGTTCGATCCGGAGATGAGTGCACTAACCATGAGGTCACCGTGCCTCCCACAAAACAAAAACATAAGCAGTGAAAAACATTTATTACAAGAACAATTTATACTTCGGTTAACTTTGAATCCTGTGTTAGCGTTAACTGGCTCAGTTCCGAACTACACAGATCTCATTGAACTTACCATTATTGCGTTACTAAGCTGTTTTGCTTTTGCCTCTAATTCAACTCTCTCCGCCTTTAATTCTTCACTTCTCTTCAGTAGTTTATTTTTTTCCTCTTCTTTTGCTAAAACACAACAATTGAAAATTATTGTTCAGAAACTTGTGTTAAAATTAAACCACTTTTTCCATTTTTTTTTTCCACTTAATGATGATTAGGCTCACAATTTTTCAGATTCAAAAGTCAACCCTTTACATGTAAACAAATCCTTGGTTAGTCAGTTATCAAGTTGATAAAATAATAATGACTTCTTAAGGTTACAGTATACCTTCGGGTCGGCAATTTTCTT